CATCACTCACTTCTTCAGTGGTTTGGGACAAATGCAAGCGATTGGTGAAAGTGGTGAGGAGTTCGAGCTCCGCATTCTTGCCGGACCGGTGCCAGTAGATGGACATCATATGCAACACTTGCAGCACTTCTGACTTCAATTGGTTGGAATTGATTGAGGCGTCTGAGCGTTGCATCGACTGAATCATCTTAAGCTTGGATTGCGCCAAATGGAGGGGCGTTCGGCCCGAGTTGTCCAGCGAGACCTACAGCCACGGCCGCGAGTCGTTGTCACACTAGTGGAGGTACAACAACCATGTCCGCCGGTCTACATCCCGACACAACGGGTGATACAGGAAGACCAATCCCAAGCGCGGGAAGAGATTGTTGTACCGCGCTATCAATGCGTTCAATGAGTCCATCGGTTAGTGGGTTCTCACAAACAAAGAGCTCTTCAGACAATTCATTACCGATTTGTGTGTTTCCCTTACAGGCGGCGAAGTGGAGCGCCGTTCGGTTCCTCTCATCACACGATTGCGGATCTATTCCTTCGGCGAGTAGTCGTTGAACGCATTCCAAGTCATTAGAATTGGAGGCTTTCCTCAGCAGTCGTTCCCCTGTTTTGTCGCAAGAATTATAATCATAACTCAATCAGCCATTTGTTGGCTGAAGACATACCTGCGATGTCTTTGAAGATATGCTTTCGCTTAATGTCGTGACTCTTTGGCCGAAAAGACTTCATTTTGGGACAAAACTCGTGCTGTTCTTCGGTGTTGTAGTTGTAATTGGATGTCGGTGCCGGCGCTCAGCAACAGTGTGATCACCTCCATGTTGTTGGTACAGGCGGCCAGATGTAGGGCTGTGTTGCCCACTATGTCCTTCTGGTTAGGGTTCGCGCCCTTCTCTAACAACAGCCGCGCTATCAATGCGTTCAATGAGTCCATCGGTTAGTGGGTTCACCCAAACAAAGAGCTCATCAGACAATTCATTACCGATTTGTGTGTTTCCCTTACAGGCGGCGAAGTGGAGCGCCGTTCGGTTCCTCTCATCACAAGATTGCGGATCTATTCCTTCGGCAAGTAGTCGTTGAACGCATTCCAAGTCATTAGAATTGGAGGCTTTCCTCAGCAGTCGTTCCCCTGTTTTGTCGCAAGAATTATAATCACAACTTAATCAGCCGTTTGTTGGCTGAAGACATACCTGCGATGTCTTTGAAGATATGCTTTCGCTTAATGTCGTGACTCTTTGGCCGAAAAGACTTCATTTTGGGACAAAACTCGTGCTGTTCTTCGGTGTTGTAGTTGTAATCATTGGGAACTCCTATCAACTGATTATCACTTTTTGTATCGAAGTTATGGTCCAATCGATTGTCGAATGCGTGGAACAATCGATGGCCGGAAGTGGAGGTCGAGCACAGGCTGTCGTAATGACAGTGAGAACTGGTCGACGGCATTGTCATCAGCGATGATGAGGCGGCCGACGACGTGGTGGCCATCGAGACCATGGGTGACATGGAAGAGGTCGGCCCATACATCGACGCCTCGAAGTCCTGTCCATACAATTGATCCCAAATTACATCAATTCATTGACACAATTAATAACCTCTTGTAATGTCATCAAAGACACCACTCATAAGACACATACATTTTGCGGACAATTATCTCCCGAGTCTTCGGCACTATTTCTGTTGTGGTTATCATTGACTGGATTTATGTTGACATCGATGACGACGACGTCTTCGTGGTTGTCGTTGTGGTCGACGAACACCTCATCCCTGCTGTAGTCGCTCTCCGAAGAGGCCAAAGACATGCCGACGCTATCGTCGGACGCATTACTGCCGGCGTCGACACCGGAGTCCTCGCCAGACATCTCACGACTCGTGCGAAGACATCATTCGTGAGGACACCAAACGATTCACGCAATCGTTGTTTACATCGAAAACCAAAATAAAGACGTTTTTTGGCGTAATTTTTGGCACAAATGGTCTCAAACTTCGATGAGTCGAGTCATCACCAGAACTGTGGTCTCGTTTGGGATCTGATTTGTCCACCGAATCAGTCATGAGTTCTTCGGCAGCGGACAGACGTGTCTGCGTCTGTGTGTTGGGAGACATCGGAAGGAGTCCTCGCATGCAATACCACTCCATCTCTCTGTCCAATCACTTCGGAGTGGATTTGCTTGGCTTTGAAGGTTCGTATCATTGGATCCAATTGTTTGCCACTTAAGACACTTACCACTGGATCTCATACCTGAAGGATCGAAACCACACGAAGGCGTGGCGAACAACGACCGCATTAAATGCCATCACATGAGACAAACGCCTCAATGGATCTATTGTACGAAGACGTTGAATGTTATCATATGTTTTGAATGAGTTTTTTGACTGATTTGTGGTGAAACACAGGGTTGCCATCGATTCTGGTCTACTTCCTCAAAGTCTGGTGGCAGTCATGGGTACTCTTCTTGTGGTTGATTTGGTTACCACACCATCACTACATCTTAGTTCAGGTTTTCAATCACTTATTCCTCGCGTAAGCCACGAATATTTACACCAATACTCGTCGCACAGAACCCGCCATCGATTCCAACGCTGGGTGTCGTGTGGTTTGTGTGTCGACTGCGAGGATCCAAGTTTGTGGTCGATTGGCACAACTATGGCTTCACAATACTCGGGCTAACTCTTGGAGACAATCACATTCTCGTGAAGATCTGCAAATGGTTTGAGACATACTTCGGCGCCAAATCTGACGCCAATTTCTGTGTCACGAATGCCATGAAAGAGGATCTGAAGAACAGATTCAATATAAGGTTTGAATCACTGTTTAATCACTCATTGTATTCGTTGTATTCACTGTCCTATCACTTGATTACATGCAAACAGCGCTACCGTTCTGTACGACAGACCCCCGGATATATTTGACGCCATTTCTGTCGAAGAGAAACACCATTTGTTTCTCAAACTGAAGACAGAATACAAGGAGTTCTTAAGCGACGAATCGGATGATGACAATCAGACTGTTGTGACCATTCATGACACTATCAGTTATAACATATCTCTGAGACCAAAACGGCCGGCGCTTGTCATGAGTAGCACGAGTTGGACGGAAGACGAAGACTTTGATATATTGTTTAAAGCGCTCGAACTCTACGACAACTCTGCTTCCAGTTCTGGCAAATGGCCGCACATTCTGTGTGTCGTTACCGGAAAGGGTCCGCTGAAGGAGTACTACCAGCAAAAGGTGTTGACCCAAGACTTTCAGTCCGTGAAAGTGGTGTTCCCGTGGCTCGCGTCGCAGGACTACCCGAAAATGGTGGCCAGCGCTGACCTCGGGATATGTCTGCACAAGTCGTCCAGTAATCTGGATCTGCCGATGAAAGTGGTCGACATGTTTGGCTGCTCTCTGCCCGTCTGTGCGTTCAATTACGACTGGTATGCCTACTGTCCATACATTTCAAACATTTTTTATTCTTAATCTTAAATTGTATTCAAAGTATCGATGAATTGGTTTTACACGAAGAGAATGGTTTGCTGTTTAAGACGAGCGAAGAATTGGCGCAACAATTGATGGATATATTTGAGAACTTTCCCAAAGAAAACAAGCGATTGAATGCATTTCGCACTCATTTGAAGCAGAATTTTACAAAATATCGTTGGAATGAGTGCTGGAATGAAAACGCTTTGAAAGTCTTTTCATAGCACACTATATATTTATAAGTAATTTAATTAATATAAGTATTTATTTGTGTAGTCATATAATCATATAAATCATAGAAATCGTAAAATATCATATAAATGTCATAAATATTGTATATTTTATTCGTGAGATAAAAACCGGAAAACATCATACATTTGGCACAACCCTTCCAATAAATTAATTTAATTCCTTAAAAGTATACATATTTTTTGTTTTTGTATATAAATTATATATAAAACATTTGATATAATAAATGACTTATAAAAATAATAATAAAAATAAAGATATTTGTAAGTATTGCCAATAATTGTGTCGATAAAATGATTGCAAATTCATGTCAATTATTGCAAATGATTGCCGTTTTCTTTGTTGGAGCTCTTGAAGTGCTGCTCGATTTCGATGTACTGTCGTATAAGTCGTGAGATTTCGTGTGCCTGAGAGTCAATGAACAAGAATTTAGTCTAAGATTAATGATTTCTAAATCACGTATTGTGTGTATTTATACCTGATCAGTTTGTATTCTGGATATTTTCTGCACCATAAGGTTCCCGCACTTCATGTCCAGGAATAGAGTGCCGTCTTCTGCCCTCACCTTTCGCGTGGAAATCACTTCAGAGAACGGATACTTCCAAAGGGTTTCCTATAATCATATCCAATACCATAATAAGTATAACATTAAGTGACAAAAGTAATGACAAATAGCTTACATGTGTGATAATGTCTAAGAAGTGGACGCCTTCCCTATTGAGGGCCAGTATGTGATCGGGTGATTGTGTGGACACGTCTTGTTGTATTCGTTTGACGGCGAAGAAACAGGAGCCAAAGAGCGGCCACTTTTGCAGGATATCGAGACATTGAGCTTTTGCTTCTGTGGTCGTGAGCGCCGACATGTCGTTCCAGTTATTCTGAACCATTTCGACCCATTGAGGCGGTCGTAGTTCCTTCATAACCAGCACCGGCTTTGGCAGCAAATACTTGACTTCATCTTTGGTGGGCATCTGCTCCATGTCGGCAGCCCTGTGCAGAAGTGAGGCGATGCGTGCGATCTGTGGCACCGCGTCTTCCGGTAGCTTCTCTTCGGGCACAACCAGCAGAAGGCCTTCCAGATAGTCGGGCGCCACCTGATTGAAGATCACTTCGATGTACAGGTGACTGTCCAGTCGTAACGGGTAGTACCAAACGGATCGGCAGAAAATGAGGTAAAATAATTGTCCGTTTTTGATCAGATCTGTGGTCACGTCCAGAATGTATTCGTCTTTATTTAAAGGCATTGTAAACGGATCTACAGAATCGATGGATTAGAGTGTGTTATTCGCTGTCTATAAGACAAATGAGAGACTCGATGGCAGACCTCCTTCGATGATACAGTAGAGCGAGAACTCCTCCATTTCGATGGCGTTCTCGATGTTCAGCATTTGACAGATCTCTTCGATGATGTCGTTGACGACCGTAGAGGAGGCCGTATTGATGATCCTTTCGGTGCCTCCGGGCAGGCGATACATCTGTCGCTTGGAGTTCCTTCCGGCGGATATGGCGGCGATCTCTTCAATGGACGGCACGTTCTTACGGCCGCCGTATTTGAATGTCTTCCGCAGGTTCTTGAGGCAGACGTCGGCCGTCAGATGAAAGGCCCGCCGCTTATCGAAAGCAGCCGTCTCTAAGTATTTGAATAAATAGGGTCTCAATAGCTCTGAACAGTCGAAATACGCGGCCATTATTGAGAAGAGACGCCAACCTCTTTGACAGCTATCACTACAACCATTGAATATAATTAAAAATTTTAACAAGTTTTCCAAACATGTCATTAAATGCATAATGAATTCAAAGTGATGTTTAATGCAAATGATTGTATAATTAGCTCACAATTTGGCACTTTTATTGCTTGTCGTCTGTTTCATTAGCTGACAATAGACTTCATCTCTAATTTGTGGATATTTGTGACAATTCTGTGGAATATATAAAGATTTTAACAATTTTTTTTATAAAATATGAATAAATTATCAAAACATACCAAAAGAATATTATAAACACAATTGACTTCCGTTTGATTTTTAATCATAGCTAAGTCTCCCATATATCGCATTATCGCTGGAATATGTGATAAAATCAAAAATATTATAAGATATGAATTCCCGGAATAATGTTTAAATACAAAACACTTACCAACGAAGCACTCGATGGCTATCTTATTGAGTTCCGGTGATAATATAAGTAATGAATTTTGAATTGTGGACTTTTGAAAGCGAAATGTTCACAATTAATATAAAGTTTGAATACTTGACAATAGTTTTTGCACTCACTTTTGAATACTTGACTAAACTGGAGATCTCACTCCACGTCCATTCTGTCGGATCGCTTCCCTTTCCCTTCTTATTCTTCTTCTTAGATTTGATGCTTTCAATCAATTTTATGGATCCTCTCAATGAACCCTCTTTTGATCGCAAGTCATATCTGAACGCAAAATAATTGTCAATATAATTTCGAAACACAACTTTGAAATTCACGCAAAACTTCTCACTTATTGACACTCTCTCTGAAGTTGAATAAAGCGAACTGAAGTAACGAAAACTTTCCGTCATTTAATTGCGAGACTTGTGTGATATCGCTCTTGGCGTCGTCAAACTGTTCCTATAATTGGTATTCAATGCAAACATACATTTAATTCATTACATGACTCGCAGCTTCACACAAAAAACAAATCAAAAACTTTAAAACAATGCCAACAAATGCATACATTTTTACTCTCAACCCATAGCGATGTGTCTTCTCGGAGAGAGCTGTCGTCGTTAGACTTGAGTTCGTGTTTATCATTGATATCGTGAGCGGAACGCAAACCATTTGAGTGGCCATTCATTACGCCCCTGACCTCATCCTTGCAAACAGAGCACAACATATCGTATGAATGCTATGAATCCTTACACTTAGTTTTTGCACAGTTTTGCGCATTTTTTACCATTCTTTGCGAAATCTTCACCACTTCCTGGCTATTTAGGGGCACCACGTATTCACACGGGAATATACCCCCTTCGCCTGTTTCCAGTACACCAAACAGCCAACCTATAGCACACACAACCGTTTGGTTACTTTAAAATTTAAAGTTTAAATCTTCAATATAAACAAAATAATCCGCAAAAACTAATGTTTAATAAAGCAGTTTCTCATAATGTCTCACACTTTGAAGCAAACAAAAACTTTTCCAATAGTTTGTCAACTAAAAAAATTAGTGACAAATTATTGCTATATCAATGAGTTTGGAGGTATTAATAGCCGCGGTGTTACTAATACACAATCACTTTCAATGACAAAACATTGAGCTTTTTAAACGAGTAAAAAAGTTTGGAAAAAATAATTTTACCAAAACTTTGTGGATATCGAAACAGTGGCCTGAGTTGTGTTAAGTCTCACTGATAACTGTTTTACACAAACTGTTACTCAACGACAACTATACTTTCGAAATGTCTGTTCCGCTCAGTCGAGCAAAAAGAAAATAGTCTTGAAGTACACTGTAATGTGTTATACGGTATAACAATAGACTATTAGAACATACGAGTCATGTATAGCACAGGTTTGTCACAATCAAACAGATATTTTTAAGAATGGCTCATAAGGTATGATATATTATAATAGTATTGTATACTCTACTCCACAATACTTTAAAAGCACTTATAGTGTACTTATAGTGTAGTGTAGAATACACAATGAATTACATTGACTTCATATCAGAATATGATCTCAAAATGCATTCAATGGAATAATTATTGTTATATAAAAGTTTTGTGAATGACGTTAAAAAATATTCATATTTTGAAATCTAAATTTTTATCCCAAAGGTATTAATCAAAATGTGAAAAACCAGAAATCAATTGATTAGCTTTCATTTTTTTCAATACATAATTCATAAAATGAATTATTTAATAAAAAATGTTGTTTTGAGTCTAAAATTATTGTTATTTTCTATAATACTATATATAGGATAGAATTAATTAAATATATTTTACTTCTATTCATTGTTTGAAAACAATTTAATAATAATTCATACAAAAGAATATATTTATCTAAATATTGTATCATAAATATAGGAAATATACCTAATTTTAAAAACAATTTTTAATGCAATGTTGAGAGCGAAGAAGTACTGTATGAGTGTTAGTGTCAGTGAACTAAAAATAAAGTCCATTAAAGCGCTTTAAAATTCAAATTTTCGCAATTTATGCGATATTTAACGAAAATTAAGATATATTTCTGTGCGTTGAACCTAACCTTAATTATACGTAAATTGAGGTTAACTCACAAAAAATGGTATTTTCTTGAAAAATCGACAAATTTGTCTCCAATTTAAAGCTAAAATTGACAACAATTTGACAATAATTGATCGCATCCTTACTTATCTGTTGAACTAATTGCTTTGAAAACTCAGAGATTGATTGATTAGTTTAAGTCTAAAACTTTTATTTCTTAAACACTCAAAGTATTATTTATACGAAAAATAAATTTACGAATTAGACATGAAATACATAAAGCAATGGAAAAAAAGTTTCAGTTATTAATGAAAAATAAAATTACAAAAAAAGAGATGATATAATAAATGTATTGTATTTATGTCCGAATGATTGGAGTAAAATCATAATAATATTATGTCTCGAAACTAAATAATGAACAAAAATATGTCACCAATAGTTTGAAATAAACAATAGATTTCAAGTTCTAATAACTTTAGACGTGAACCACAGCTCCTAATAGTTATTATGAGTACCCTTTGTCTATCATTAAGGCTTCAAATGATATTATATTTAAGATTTAATCTTGAAATGTGAGATAAAATCAATAAAAAATATGCTAATCTTTATGTTAGACTAAATGGGATTACATTAAAGTTTGTAAATCTAATTATTTTTGCAATAAAATGCGATTTTCACGTTGAATATACAGTGATGTTTCTACACTAACATTATTTTGCATATTGTACATATTTATTATAGTACTACATTATGTAGTCTACATCTTTACACTATATCCAGGTAATAATACAGACAATGTGATGCAGAATACAAAAGTGTGATAACATTTTGCAAATTTTGCAAAACTTCTCTTTAGAGCCATTATACTAATGGACATAATATTGTCTCAATCGTGATATAAATCAAAATGTGATAAAAAAGCGCAATCATAGTGACTGAATGGCAATATTTAGTGAATGACTAAATTATAAAAGTAACTGGTTCATAGACAAATAAATGAGCCAAACATTATGTCTAGCTTTTTGAAAATAAAAGATTTCTTCAGACTTTTTGGTAGACTTCCCATCTCTCAAGACATTGAACAATACATTGTAAGTAAATGACAACTGACTGTTTGAAAGGAAAGGGATGACAAATACTTATTGTCTACGTTTTTTTAGGAAAAACAATTTAAAACTAAGCTATTATTTAAACAATACTTAAGTAATAATCTTTCAATTAAAGTTAACTTCCGTTTTTCATTGACTTTTCAATTGATTAAAATATTTCGACAAATATTTGATTAACATATTGCGGGATAAAAATAGATTTTAATTTTAATAAACCAAATTTTAATTGTAGTTAAAACCATAAGGATTATGAATTAATTGAATAATTAAATGATAGGAAAATAAATTATAATAATTATGCAATTTAGCGAATTAGCAATGCTTAAATAATCTTGTAATTACCTAACTCATTTGTATTGTTAAATACATGATCATATTGATAATAATTTATTTTTATAAAAAATAGCTAAAATAATTAATTTTGTTTGTCATTATTTAATCAATTAATGTTAAATTTTTGTTTCTAATGCTTATTGATTTTATCAATAATTCTTATGTAAATAGGGTTCAGTGAATACAGAATTGCTGTCATAGACGCCCACTAATAACCCATTACTGGTAGAGCTGATGAGATTATTGATAAAATTAAGAAAATCAACGTATTTACTTGTATCGATAAAAATTATACGAAAGTGTAGTAAACTTATTGCTATTTTAGTATGTTATAAAATTGATAAGTTTTCAAATGAATATATTCAAGAGTAAAACTAAATTGTCCACAAATTGTAAAATAAAAATAAGCAAACCTTTAGATAACTGAAGATTTTTGTTCTTAAGTATACGAATGATATCTCCTTTTCTGAAGCCAAGAATGGATGGCTCATCGCTGGTGTAATGCCTGAGCGCCCGAACGAATTCAATTTGACTCTAAATGGGGTTTTGAGTGAAAATTGTTAATACAATCACTAAATTAAAAACATATATTTCAATATATTAAGCAATTGTGTGTTTCATACCTCTTGAGTTTCTAACGCAAACCTCTCAATTAAACTCTTGATTTGAATGGCCTGTAATTAAATAAAGCAAACAATTTCGTCACACCAAACCTAATGACAAGCATATTGTGCTAGGTTACTTTTGGTGAGAAAAGTGTGATCCATCCGCCCCCACACAGCAATATCTGAATCGTACAACTCTTGGGAATTATCACTTCCGAGATATCGTCCAAACTATTTAATTAAAATATTAATTGTTATATTAATTCGCATAGCAGTTGGCGATGATGTCTAACCTGAGTCTATCCAATACTTTAAGATAATCACAAACGGCATTCCTCTCCCTTTGAATCAATCGGACGCCGGTGTGAGAGATGCCGAGTAAGTGAACGTTTGGCAAATTCCTACCCCCGGAGACCGGGTATAATCGGCTGAAATAAGTGGGCATTTCTCGGGCCGACTCAATCAGACTCTTCTGGAACTGGATCTTAGGGTTGGCGTTGAGAACGTTGTCGATGTTTATGTCAACGGTTTGTAGTTTGGATTGTAGTTTGAATTTCTCTTCTTGTGTTAACCGAATACAAGTGGGAGAGAAGGCATCCCTCACTACTTGAAGGAATATTAGGTGCAAAACCATTGGATTGTCGATGGTTTCTTGGGGTGAGAAGACCTGCAATTGATTCAACAATTATTAGATCCAATGACATACATATATAAGAGCACAAAGACTCACCTCTTTTCTGACATTTAACTTCCATTTGACTTTAGAATAGGTCAGAAACGGGGCATCAGTTGTGGTGAAGAGTTTGGTCTTAATCTTGTCGACCGTTGTCTGAGCGTCGGGACGGCTGATGATGGAAAGGGGCGGCGCTTCGACTGGATTCAGGAATTCGTTGCTCTCCTCGAATTCAATCCTATCGAAGGACAGTCTGTCCTGAGAGACGGCTAACCCGATGGGCGGCGGCGGGAGTTTTCGGTGACGTCTGGCCATAATTGGAGAGCTCGGGGCGTAATAACTGCTGGAGGCGGCCACCGATGGCGGACCGCTTCCGTTCATATGCGGTAAGCACTGGTACGCCGGGTTACTGAGGGTCGCACTCAGCATACCATTGATGGGCGGCGGAGGCGGCGGAACATTCATCCTCTTAACCGGTTTGGAGGACAAGTCGTGGCTGAGTCTGAGACCAGATCTCTGGAGATTCACATTACTGGAGATAATACTGTCCTCATAGGGGATACTATTCGTGGCGCTCATCTCGTCGAAGAAAGCCCTCTCGGGTTCCGTGGAATAACTGAGTCGATCGCCGCACTCGGCCTGAATGGTTGACGTCATAGTGCCGGACCTCCTGTTGAAGGGCCCCAACTCGTCGCGTCTCTCACGTATTTCTCTGCTCACAGTTTTGCGCACTTTTTCTCCACGCGTTGAGACATTTTTGGCGAAACCACTGTCCGCTTGAGTGCTCTCATAATTGCTGAGAACCGGAACGCTTTGGGCGTATTTCGAGTGCAGAGTCTCTGTCGGCTCCTCTCTGTGCCCGAGGCGTGTGTTTAGGGGACTGGAGTTGTTGTGTTCCGTGCGATCATTAGGACTCCTTAACGATCCCATCAGTTGCTTCTCCAACAGAGCCTTTCGCTGTTCCGAAAGCTTCTTAACGGCGCCGACACTCGCGATGTCATCCATACTGCGGCTCTGCATTGCCGTCCGCTCTCTGCCATCCTTTTTGGACCGTACGCTCTGGTCGATAGTCAACTGCTCCAACTTGGCCTTCATTTCGGAGCTGATCCGCAACTTACCAATACTTCCAGGAACCACATTTCGGATCACTTTTATCTTCTCATCCTTTTTCGCCGCTTTCTCGTTGTTGTGTTTGTCGTTGTTTTCCATAATTTTCGGCTCCGGTCTTGAATTTTGCGAAATCGGAGCAATCGTTTCGTTCATATTGTGATTGTCTGTCCCGTCAGGCGAGTGCTCGTCTCGGTCTTCGCTATTCTTCTCGCTTTTCTCCATTTGTTTCTTACGTTTAAACTCAAAGAAGTTGTTGGAGGGCTCGGAGGGACCGTCAGCGGGTGGCGGCCACCGCCACTTCCCTATTCGCACTGTTTTAGCCCTTCTGTACACATCTGCCGCCGATGGAGACAATGGAGGCGGTGGTGGCGGCGGAGGAGGTGGGGGTGGAATTGAGCCGGGAATGTGTGAGCGATTCATATCCTTAAAGGGTGAGGTTGTGTCCAATAGAGTAATGTTTTCATTATTTGTTAGATTCAGTTGTGTGTCGCCGACGGGTGATAGCAAAGGCATTGTCTGTATTTGCAGTAATGGGGATATCGGGGACATTGGGTACGAGAGATTCGGCGGACTACCGGCCAGGTTCTCACTGGACTGACCATTGCTTATGGGAGAGTTGGGACTATTGATGGACGAGTGGACTAACATATGCTGGAGCTGTTGGTTCTGTTGAAGCAATTGCTTCTGTATCTCGAGATTCTGTTGGAGCGATGAGGCGAGGAAAGCCCTTTGTTGCATCTGAACCATCTGCTGGTGCAGCACCTGCTGCTGTATCATCTGCGACGTGTCCACCATCGGGACTGTCATTCCGGCGATATTCATGAGACCCATATTCAGCGGCGATGTCAACGAGTCGCTCAGACCATCGGATGGTGTCAGAGATCGACTCGAATCCAGATTCGTTGAAATACTCAGATTCTGTTTGCGGTTTGTTGTCTGTTATGTAAGAATTTAATGCTTAATATTTTGCTTAAATGTCAATTCATTTGTTTATAATGAAAATATTCCTATCAATAGATAAGTGCATTAATCCCTTAATCCAAAGCCAAGAATCAGAGTTTAAGATAAATAATTAATAGTAAACACATCAAAGACATCACATTAAAGATAAGACAATGAATTAAATGCTTTTATTTGTTTATAGTATAGTGAAGCAAAGTTCATATCAATTATTCGCTATAATTAAGGCTTACGTAAAAGTAAAGCACAGATAATGAAAGCCCAATTAATAAAGTATTTCATGCATTCAATTAATAAAAATATTTACTTCGAGTTCATTATTTCCGCCCCCTTTGAGCGCCGACACTAGTCTATTGGGCTCTACCAGTGCCTCAAATTCATTTGTGTCGATATCTAATTCGTACGAAAAGTCATTCAATCGATGCACTCTTCTGTTAGTATTTATATTTTTGATGGCATTTTGATTATCATTTGAAGAGCTATTGCACTGAAGACCACTTTCCGAGTCATACAAAGAACCGCCGCCTTTGATGGAAGCGGCCAGAGATCGGGCGTCACTCAACTCATCCAGGTTTGCGTCCAACACCGGATTGAATAAATCGTCCAAATATTGGTCTAATTCTGATGTGTGGGAAGGGATGCGAATATTCCTGACATGAGATGCGAGTGATGGCGATTCCGACGTGTCCGACATGGCTGAGCCCCTCACCAACTGGTACTCACTGTCTCTACTGACAGATCTGTCGATATAAGCCTTGGAAGTGAGCGAATGCTTATTGAGTGAAGGGATGGGAAGTTTTCCGCTGTATTTCTGGTACCGAGAGTTCTGTTCGCTTGACTTGTCGTTGAATTCAGACAAGTCTTCGCCATTCCTTTCGCCTTCAATAATAGGAAAATCCATTTCTCTGTCGGCAGACGAGGGAACGGATGACAGGGAAGAGGAGGAAGACGAGCGACTCGACGGCCGAATGAGATGAGACTTTCGAGAGGAGTGTGACTTCTTCGGGGGCGACCTCTTGGAGTTGTCTTCAATGCCGGGCTCAGCCGGCAGTGGACGGGAACTCATGTTTGTTCGGTTGGCTTTCTGTAGGCTTTCGTTTAGCGCCGAAGAGGTTTCGCCTTTAAATGCTGAAAGACTTAATATATTGTGGTGAGGGTTGGCATCGGGTCCGCTGTCACTGCCTTCTGTGAGTGAAGCGGTTTTGTGTAAATCGGTTCGCGAGAAGTATCTGTCGTTGAGGGCAGACGACGCCAAACCCAACTCTTGCATCGAAATACTCCTCTTATTTGAGTCGAGTTTCGACTTCTTGTCGCTCGTCTTCGAGTGAATGTTTCGCTTCTTTGATCGCAACTCAATGTCTCCATTCTTTCGGTCGGCCTCTGATTTGTTGGAAATGTATCTCTGATTCAATCGACTCGTCTCCGAGAGTTGGATCTTCTCATTGCTCGTCATTTGTTTATTCTGGAGATACCTTTCGTTGAGTTTACTCTTCTTCGAGAGACCCAAGTCCTGGTCTGACGTCAACATCTGGTTCTCGTCGTTGTCATCGTTTTGGGCCAAATGTTCTCTCGATAGAGACCGCGCTCTCGGGTTTCCATCCGAAGACATATCGCTTCGGCGCAAGTTTTGGCGACTTCTGTGACCAACTTTCGGATCTTGAGATTCGTAGTGATTGTGAAACGATGGCACCGGTATTGACTCGTCGAAGTTGAGCTCGAATTTGTTAATCCTCTCCGGATTATGGTATCTATGAATACGAGAATTACATATTAATTCTTGTGGTCTTAAGAACTTATGAAATCAAATCCATACGAATTCTGTTTATCTGTTCTCTGCTTTGATCGGTCGGCCGACACCAAGAAATAGCTTTTGTTGGCGGGAAAGGCGTTTGGAATTTCCATTTGCGAGACTACATCCATCGCAAAGTCGCTGCCATTCAGTCCGTACTCATCGCCGTCGTCGTCGAGATCGACAGTCCAACCAAAGCACGAATTGAGTCCTTTTGCGCGCAGGGCTTCTGATGCAAAAGTTTCGGCTGAAGCCCAGGACTCGATTGGGGCGTATCTACTGTCGCCTATAGAGAGACAGATATCGTGTGTAATAAATATAATAACATTCCTGTCGTATCTTTATTAGTATTGTTTTATCAGTTATGGCATACCATCAGCAAAAGTCGCCTCTAATGCCATATTACACCTCTTGTTGTTAGCCTTCCACTCGAGAAGGGAGGGCGGGTATGTCCGCACATTCAGACTCTCAGACTTCTCGCTTTGGAGTAACTGATAAGACAAAGATCATAAGTTATGAATGAATCAACGGATGAGTAATTAATACCAAATGACAAATTAATACCTGTTTTTGAGTGACAGCTTTGTATCCATCAAAGCCCTGATCGGAAACATATCTGCAATCATATGATAGGAAATTAGTTGTGAAATAATGATTAATTTGTTGATTGCAAAACTCACTTTAATAGGTATTTGTAAAGCGTAGGGCTGGGAGGGAAACTAGATAAGCAATGAGCCAGCAACTGCCAGCCTCGCTCATTATTCGCCTCATTCTCATTCTTCCAGGTCTGGTTACACAGTTGACATAGGATCTCATCCCTGAGCGCACTATTGGACAGTCCTTTCTGTGCGATATAATCGGCTAATGCTTTCTCCTTCTTTCCGCACAAATTGCTGTCATTCATGAACCGAAGGATCTATTCATTCAATCAATGCATCCAATGGTTTAGATTCAAATTATATGCTAAAACAGGCAGAGATTTAAATACCAGTTTAAAAATGGCCACCGATTCTTGGAAATCGGTTTCACTATTTTTGGCTAAGAAGGGCGTTTTGATGGGCTCTCGTTTCATACCCCATATATGGGCCCTGAAGTAGATATTTGTAAACTTTGTGAACGCGTAGTAATCGATGTCCGACGGGAGTCGCCATTTGTGTAGCATTTGGTGGACATTGGAGTTCACTCTCACGATATTCTGTGCCGAATGAATGCACTGCCAGTCTATCGTATCATTGAATACAATTCATAATGAAATAAAGCCAAATAAAAACATACTATTAAACCAAAATACCGTCGAGTTTGCTGAATATGAAGGCCAGCTCTGCGGGCACTTCCAAGTGGTTAATACCGGCCACAGCTCTGGACGAGCGCTCCATTTCATCCCTATCTCTATTCGCCTTCTCTTTTGTCTTTTCAAAGGCTATCCTTTCGGCCTCTATTTGACGCGTTTTAAGAGCTTTTAACTGCAGAAAAAAATAATTACATTTTACTAACAATTTCTATCAAGAATTAAAGATTTTAAAAAAACGTAACAAACCTTTTGGTATTCAACTTTCTGTTTTTTCATTTTATAGTTGGCTTGTATTCTGATGATACCGTTCCGCAAGTTGTGGTAATCCTTTCTAACTCTATATCCTCTAAACATTGACTGAATTTTAATTACATTTGAGCGATAGTTGCGATATCTTCGTCGCGCTATAAATGTCTTAATATAGGACTGAATTTTAATGACCGACGACAGCATCACTTCTTTTCTCTCTTTTTCCAGCGACTGGTCTAACGATTCCCTTAAAAATATCTACAAATATAACGAATAATATAAACAATTAATTAAATTCCGATAAAATAAATACAATTCTTAATACTTTAGTCAATCCATATTGGTATTGATGGCTATAATTTGGTATCCTTTCTAATATGAGTCGACAAATATCCTTAGATGAAGTTCCCCTCGGGGTCTGATTGGGTAGTAAGCACCGGTATCTGTTGGATATGAATAAGTAATGTGCATAATTAATATTTATAATATTCAAATATGAATTTTATATATAATATTACACATACCTTAAAACGAAAGTTTGATATTTGATTCTGATGGGAAAGCCTAATTTCCTGATGCGAATGGTCTCCAATATCCCCGAATACCTCAGCTGTTCCAACACCACCGGGACATCGAATTTCATGGACACCTTATCGTTGTTTGGTTTAATACACCGAACGAACCACGGATTGCATTTCGACATAATCTCGAGCAGGGATTGCAACGAGTCTTGAAACCGGGCCGACACTGTAGGCGCCCTCGGCTTCATCGTAATGAATCGGCCGTCGCTTCGACTGTAGGTCTTATTCGCTTCGACCGATTCGCGCAGGTTTTGAAACATCTTCGAAATCATTGGCATTTTGCTGCTAATCAACAGATCCATGACATTCGGCCGAAGAGTGTCCCGGTTTTTGTCGAGAAAGCCGTCCACGGAGTACCAGACCTGCCCGGCGTAGTGTTTGATCCCGAACTCCATGGACGACATACGCGGCCGATTGTACAGATCGTTGAGCGCGTGATTGTAGTGACACTTCTCCAGAAACGACTGGTCGCTGGCTTTCGGGAAATTGCTTTCGTCGTCCAGAAGGGGAAGGATTCCGACCGGCTTTTTCGAGATAAGCGTCAGCACCGACATGTTGTCCGGGAAGCTCAATGGCTGCCACTCGATCTTCTCCTTCGAGTACTCCATTTGCTCCAATTTGAAGACATATTTATTGAAATACGACTGAAGCGTTTCGTTGGCATAATTGATGCACAACTGCTCGAAGTTATTGTCCTTAAAGTTCTCGAATCCGAAGATATCCAAAATGGCGAGACATGTCTTTCGGCTGCCTTTATATATCATGAGATTCACTCTCTGGACGAGCCATGAGAACAGACACGAGTACAGGGCTTTGGAAATGGCATCCCTGGCGTCCAGTGCCTGGTCTATGTTCAGAGGAGTCATCATCTTCTCATTTCTGGCTTCAGTTGTTTTAATAGTCATGGCTTTGAAGATTCCATCCAACGATAGCTGAAGGAGGTGTGAGACCCACCGGATCTCAGCATCACTGCCCACTTCGACCCCTTCCTGGCCGTGTCTGAACTGTTTCCGATGGAAGTATATGTTTCCCAAATGAAGAACTGATGCCAACATCCGGAATATAGTGTCCTGTTCTTCGTTAGTGAATCCCAACACTTGCATTGCACTCAACAGAAACCGAAAGCCCTCGGCGTCGTCTTTGCCATCGATTTCACACGACTGGCCCTGATTTAGGTAGAAGTACTTATCGGCCACTTGTAGGCCATACTTCTCCTTCTCTTCATTCGTGAGTCCGGACAACAGCTCATAGAAGACATGATAATTGCGTTCATCCTGCGATTGGGTCACAATTCTGGACTTTTCCAACAGATATTCTGTAGTCCGGGCGCCGGTTATGAGACCACTTCGGATGTAAATTGAAAGTTACTATCAGTTTATAATTAGAAAGTAAAGTTAAATTACTCTTTAAAATAGATTTCCAGATATTTTCCAAAACGACTCGAATTGTTATTCTTAACGGTCTTCGCGTTACCGAAAGACTCGAGTAAAGGCGTCGCCTCTAAGATCTGTTCAGTGATTATATTACTCGAAGACTTGTTGACGGCCGCCAAGTATTGCATCAATAGTTTCGTGTTCTCTGTCTTCCCGGCGCCGCTCTCACCGCACACCACGACTACCTGTCCCTCACTGTCTTCATTCATCTTACTATAAGCGCTGCTTCCGATTGCAAACAAATGCCTATAAATCAAGTCAAATATATTTTTTAATTAGTTTTCGCTGTCCGTAAATATTTCATATCATTTCCGATGCATACGGGGGTAATGTTCCCAAGATCTGTGACTCGTATTTCTTAACCATATTTAAGCCGTAGATGTCATACATTTTGTACGGATTCACAGACACTAAGATACTTCCGATGAAAGTCTAAAAGTGAAGTAATTTTTCAATCAGTAATTTATAATACAATCGATATTTTAATTTAATGCATATTTTTCCTTAAACTTTAGATTCTTGTTTTATTTTGAAATATATATTGTTTTTGTTTTGCATAATTTAACAATTTTCCAATTTTAATAATTACATAAATAATTCATTTGCTTTAAATCAATTGCTAGTAATTCAGTCAAAACTATTTTTACTTTTATTACTAAAAATGTTAATTGACTTTAAAAATAAAGTGGTAGTCTTAAGCTAAGCTCAATTGCAAATTTCATACATTTTATAATGTGCTATAGAAAAGGATTTAATAATAAATATGTGGTAATCATTATAATAAATCTTGTTATTGTATTCGTAATACTTTAAACAATTTTAGTATTACATAGAAAATGAACGCATAAATTATATATGAAAATATCACTTAGTTTTCCGAAACTAATTCAATAAATTATATAAATTATGATAATTGTAGTGAAATTCCTCCATCTTATCGATGAAACAAAAATAATATTATTTTACATAAAAATAAATAAAAGAAAATTTCTATATTCTCGCAAAAAAACTTTTGGCACAATATAGCAAAACTCGTCAATCGATCGCCAAAAGCGATGAAAACAAATGGAGTGAATAAAAGCTATTTTCTCGATATGTTTTCAACTGTTGGACTAATTTTTCTGATGGGAATCCACTCGAGAGTTGGAATAAAATTTAAAAATTTGATCAATTCTTAAATAATTAAGAATTCTTCATCATATCTGTTACCAAATTGTGTCATAAAAATTGTTATGAGAGATAACCAGAAATAAAAGGGTCATTGAATTATTTCGAGATCACGCCCTAAATTCCTACCTCTTTTCATTAGTATTTAAATCCCAATCCATTTCTATATTGTATTAATGACTATTCAATACACTCATTGAGTGTTCAAACAATTAAACAATTGATGACTTACTAGAAAAAAGTCTACAAAAATGCTTATAATTATTGTCTCACACATTGAAGATGTGTTGCAAAAATGCAAATATTTATGCGTCTGTATAGCAATAAACTCTTGCCGTGAATGCAGAATATACTGCAAACTTGTCTCAGAATTTTTAAACCAAAACATTACTGATGATGACCTCAAGGAAAAAATTTGCTTAAAGTAAATATAATTCACATAAAAATTGCCTCAAGTTTTATACACTTCTCTATCGTCCAAAATAAGTGTATAAATGAAGGAAAAAACTTCCTATAAATACATCTCATTTGCGAAACAAATTTAACGTATTTTTCTATTAAAAGAAATGTTGCGAAAAGTTATTGACAAAAACTACACCAACTCTTATGTTTGGAAACTTTTTCTTTTTTCTCTCACAATTGCTTATCATTTAATTATTTCTGTGGATTTGATTTTAAGCAAATGAATGAACTCTTTCGCAGTCAATGTTTGAATAAAATATAAGACTAATGAATAGCATGTGAAAAGTGCTTACATTTATGATTTCGTTGTCATATCGGGTCTTAATATTCCATAGAATCGATGCTTCGTTTAAATCGCTGAATGAAAAGAAATAATAAATTTTCAAATCAAAGGAATAATAAAAACGATAAAATATATTAATTTTAAGATTTATTAACTCGTTGTCAGCGATTCAAAAGGTGGCCCAAAAACCTCATGACTTTTGGTTTTAGAGATTTCATTGAAATATGCATTCTTTGCAAATAATTTATTTAGTTATGAGTTAAATAAACTTTTTACACATAATTCATAATTTAAATTTTTGTAAAATTAAAAAAAATATAATAATTTTAAATTCATTATAAAAATAGCTACCAATTTAAATAAAAACATATAAAAACTAATCCTAATACCTTACCCAACATACCCTACCCTACCCCGACATATTGCACTCGCCATTTGGTAATCTCTTAAATCTAATCATTACTTAATTAAATTAAAACAATAACACACTGTTACATAATAGGGTTTGTGTTATAATTAACTGTTTGGGTCATAAAACAGTTCGCTATTGCAAACAATGTGTGATATTCTGTGTATTGAATACTAAAGCAAATTCTCTATTGTTTTAAATGTTAGACTTTTACTTTTTTGTCATTCAAATTATTTTAATTACTGCCATATAAATGGGTGTTTCAGTAATTTTCTGACAAATATTTAGTGTATTTTGTGTTTGAGTGTTATGTCATTCTCTGATTCAAACTCATTGGAAGTCTAATTCAGTTTCAAAACATGCCATAAATAAAAACAAAACATAATTTTTATTTTTTGCGTTTATATTCAGAATTAAGTCATACGAAAATGCAGTTTTATATAAATCTTTGTGTATTTTCTTATTTTTGTATGAATTATATTGTACGGCATTTGAACTGTTATTTAAATTTATTTATTTAATGCATTTTTTGGGTTCATTTGAAACATTATTTTCACTTAAGAAACAAAACAACGAAAAGAATAGAAATTGGGATAAAAGTTGTGCTCAAGAATTGTCGACTTTATTGAACATTATGTAGACTTTTGGCGTAAATGAGTCAAACATTTTTCGTTTGTTTGGTTCATAGTTTGAGTTTATTTTAAAATCTAATGAATAAAATGAATTTATTTTAAATTTATTCCTTTTAATAAAACTAAACAAACTATTAGCAAAGTTTTAATTTATTTATTTTCTAATACCGGTATATATTCTATAAGGCAATATCTAATTTAAATTAAATGAGGTTTTAATTACATATAATTTGAATAAGGCAATAGTAAAAACAAAATATAATTAATTTAATTCTATATACAGTATAATTGTTTAGTAGATTAATATGTTTTGCAAACTTAATTTGTATTTCACCGATAAATCCTGTCGTGAATTCTCTCACATTTGAAGGGATCAAACAAATAAGTGGTTTTGAAATAGTTTTTCTACTTTTTTGTCCACAAATTTTTATGCGAAATAAATAGAGAGACCGAGAGATAAAAATGTGGTTTATTTAGCAAATGCCGTAAATCAGTAGAGATTCACAGAAACGAGTCGTACATATATATAGCTCCGACACTTCATTGAATTAAATAATATGTTTGAAAAATCAAACTTTGAATGAAAAAAAATGCAAAGAAAATTGCAAAACATTGCAAAAACTTTAAGTTTCAAGATAAAACTTTTCTCATATGTATTTAATTACAATATTTTTTCTTATAAATTTACAACAAAAAAAGTTTAATTCAAACAATAAAACTTTCTCAATAACTTTGCAAAAACAGATAATCGTTTTCTCAATCAAAAAGGCTTTTACTTATAATAAATAAGTTCTTAATTATATGTGGAAATCAATATAAATAATAAAAAGGGTATATAAATGGCAAACTGACGCCCCATTTAATAGCAATTAAACTCTAAATTCTTGATAACGCGTTATTTTTATGCATTTCAATCATTATTTTATATTTATTTTTAGTTTACGTCACAATCATTTGATCCAAAGGCTGGGCTCACAAGTGCTCACAAAAAGTCACAAAACACTCATAACTTCTCAGCAAAAAAATACACTTCTCATTGTAACCTGACTTTTAAATTGACATGAAATCTATACTTCCGGTGCTTATGAATGGTAATGGATGTAATGAAAGGGAACTCACTCTATGTCGACCATATCCTCGACTCCATCGGCCGACAGGTCGGGTGGCTATCGGATAAACAACAAGACTATGAGTACGAACTGCACACACACACAAGGTATACCACCAGCGCTGGACACCTACCCTTTCGAGCTGGTCCTCCATATCTCGACGATTAGTTGACTAACAAATAGTCTGAACGCACAGAATATCTAATGATAGCACCGATCGTATTGAGCACTGATAGCACGAATAGCACTGACACCACAGCAGCGATAGGAATGCATAGCAATGATAGGAATTTCCTTATTTGATAGCAAACGCGGCAATGGATGCGAACACAAGTGATGACAAAACTTTTGGATACACGTCCAGAGATACACTGATCACTGAGTCAGCGGAGGAATGGCAGACAACTGAGCAACACTTGACACACACACGGAGTGAGACTTTTTTTAAAGGACTAAATGTGCGAACAATTGGTTTCATAAGAAGAGGAATGACATGAAAGGGGTTAACACAACACCACTAGCGGTGAAGTTGTGTTTACTTTGAACGCAATGATCACTTCTATGAGCCAAGTGTGAGGCCGAGTTGGCATCAATGGCATCAACCATAGGCCAGGTATGTGTTTGGAGTGAACTTTTCTTATAACATGTATTTCTCTCCATTGGTTGCGACGAAAGCTGTTCTACAGGTGCGCTCACGCTCTCCAAGATATGCCCATTCAGTCCATACCAAGAGTCGCAGGAATGTCTCACCAGAGAAGTCTCAGCTCAAGGCTATTAAAGCGCTCGCAAAACGCCACTCCGGCTCTACCTGTCTGTGCCTCCAATGCCTGCATCCCATCCACTGTTGCCCACGTCTACCAGCCCTGTCTTACGGCCCCCAATGCCCTACCACTCCACGTATTCCTCCACCAGTTCTCTCTCTCTCTCCCTTTCGCACAAAACTTTATGCAAAACTTTTTTTTGTCAAGAAATCTGAAACTCGTTTACAGTTTAGGGGACGACATCTGGTGTTTGGCGTACAATACGCGCCACTCATTGAACTCAATTGCATAAGAAATGCCTGCGAGTGTTGGCGAACAGCCATAATATGGCATAATGTGACTGACGTTCACATTCCCCAGTGGCGCAATTGGTTAGCGCACGGTACTTATATGACAGTATTCGTGATCTGAGATATGCCGGGGTTGTGAGTTCGAGCCTCACCTGGGGAACTCTTTTTGCCCATACATGCAACACATTTTCACTTTTTATTTGCTTTGATTTTATCACTTTTTGTTTATTTATTCGCATTTATTTGACGCAAATATTAGTACGAAACTAGATTTTTA